TGGCAGCTACACGGACCCCTTGGAGACTGAAATGTTCAAGTTTTATCCATGTGAAGTGTAAATCCTCCAGTGTGTATCTATGTAGCTGATTTTTTTAGTGTATCTTTTTGCCTTTGTTCCCATTAAATCTCATCCCAGATGAAAAGGTTGATCCTCCTTGAAATCACTGTGAATCTTGATTCTCACCTAATGTTTAGGGTAGTCTTTTTAGATGTGTATTTTATGCAGAATTGATAAGTACCGTTTATCTGGCATGGATTTTATCTTTATTGAAAAAACGGGTTCAACTATCAGTGCCAAAATCCATCCCTCAAGATGCTACTTCCAGGATTATTGTCATCATTAATTAGCAGCCTTTGCTGTATCATTTAACTATTATTAAAAATAGTTCTCTGTCTAGTCTTCTTTTGTCATTTGAGGTGAGCTTGGCATCAACTCTTTGACTAGCTCCAGGCCTTTGAAGAGTTTCCATTTTTTAAATTCTCCTTATAAATATTAATTTTTTAAAAAATAAACCACAACACTACTGAAAGGTACCATCAAAACCATTTATAGTCAAGAAATTTGCTAACAAAACAGATGTGTCTCCTTCCATGAATGAAGATGACTAAAGTATACATGAAACATTTTCCTGATAGGCAACGAGTAAGTACCTTGATGCTGTGAATAAAAGGTGAAAAAAATTATAAACTAAAATAAAGCATTGGTATGGTATAGGGAGAGTAGCATCAAAATGGAATTATTATCCTATGGACCCCAAAGTGCCTGTTTCTTACAAATAATAAGAGCTATAAATCAGAAAGTCTTTCCACCAGCTGTGAAAGTTGGAATATCACATGGCTTAGATAAATGTTGTAATTTATATACCTAATTGTTATGATTATTAACTGAGTGGTTATTAACCACTTCATGGTTGTTACAATCCTTAAAACAAAGCACTTAGCTTATCTTCTGTCGTCTGTACAGTATAGAAAAAACTATAGAAACTAAAAGAATTCTTTTTATACTCTAGGAGGATTAAGTGTATGGTAAATACATATTTTTAAGTATCAGTCCTCTGGAGTTCTAGACTTATTCTCTGCAGCATGAACCAACCACAATTAGGGACGTTTAGGCGTCTTGTTGGTCCTATTTATTGTTGCTATTTAGTTACATCCAAATTCAGCCATCAATTTGCATCTCAAGTTCTAATTGCCTTTGAGAGTTCTATGCACAGAACAATAGCTGAAGCGACTCTTCAGAATAAAAGTCGTAAATATAGGTTCTTCCTGATTTTGATGAATTAAAACCAAAGAAGGGGAGACAGTTTGTTTAGCAAGAAGCCATCTGTTTATTTGTGTACAGTGTTTGTATTCAAATTTAAGGGAATTAATCAAGTAAAAAAGCATCAGAATTCACAACACAGAAAACAGGAGTGCTGAACAAACACACACTTTGAGAAAACAAAGTAGCTAATGAGATTTTGAACCTCTTTAGTTTAATCTTCTCTAGTCCCAAGGAGACCTCTCTGGTTTGTGTACAGAGCATGACTTACTTTGCATCGATTCTTGCTACTTCAGGGCTCAGAAACAGGAATTGGCGACAAGTGCTAAGTTAATGAATTAGCAGCATTCAGCACAGCAGCCGTACCGACATAAGCCTTTATTTAGGGGACTTCTATGGTCCTTGCTTAACAGGCAGCTGAGTTTACCAATAATAAAAATTCTATCCCAGATCCCTACTTGTGTATAAAGAGATGAGCGTTTCTTTAGGAAACCAATGTCATTCGAAACTGCGGGCCAGAATTTCAAATGCCTCCATGCTTTGGGGTATGTGCTGCTTGCCCAGAAGTTGTGAGAAAATAGGGAGACAAGATGTTCTGAGGGACTGCAGCCTGGGCATTTGACTCTACACTCACAGGTTTGATGTGTAAGCTTAGAGCTAGAGCCAGCATATAAAATCATCACTGCTCGTTACCTGTCTAAGGCAGTAACTTCATTACTCATGCAGTGAAGCTCTCTGCAACCATCTGCACCCCATGGCAGGAATTCTTTGAATTCCTTCAGCATTTAAATATCTTCAGTTGGCTACTCATAATCGAAAGTGCAAATTTCCGTATTACGCCCTCAGACTTGTTCTCTGCATGGTTTGTGTATGGAGAGCATGTTTTCAGCAAAACAAGGAGAAGGGGCATAGCACAAGAGACAGTTTCTAATCCTCTCTGAGACATCAGTCTCCTCATCTGTTAAATAGGGATGATAATAGTGACTCTTTGTTAGGAATAAATGAAATAATCCATGCAAGACACTTAACAGTGCTAAGGGGCTCAGTTACTATGAATGTCACAATTCTCTCAACCTCCATTGTATCTGCTACCCATGGGACACACAATACCTGCTTGGAGGATAAATCAACAAAGGAATGTATTACAGTGAAAATCTAAATTGCAAAATCAGTGCTCTTTACAGTAGAATTAGGCAACATCTTTGTCAAATAAAAAACACAGTGGTACCTAATTTCAGCCTGGGATTACCTGTTTGGGCTTTCATTTTATAGATGAGGAAAATTTCAATTCAAAAATGTCAAGTGACATATCAAATCGAAATGGGGTTATTCCTAGATTTTTGCTTAGAATAATATTTGCTCTTAACCTCCTTTCCTCCTTTAAAAACAAAATCTTATTCTGTATCCATTCCTGAGTGTCAGTGAATCAATAAAGCAGATTTTTATTATATGGCTCGCAAAAGCCTCAGGTTTTAAAATAAGGGATTTTCCATCCCATTGCCTCTCAGCTGGCAGGACCTGTTGTTCACTTTTCATCTCATGGACATGACTCATCCAGCAGTGACTAAAATCACATTAATCCACTTATTCTGATCTTTTCCTATTTTCAGAAAACAGCAAAAGTATATCCCACTGCTAGATTGTAATCTATTTAGGGCAGAGATTTCCCTTCTCCAACAACCTGAGATGTTTTCTTTCCATATTTGGATAAAAGGGTAAAAAAAACAAAAATCTTGTAAATGTTCTATTTAAAAAGGAAATTTTAATATGGGTTGTAAGGAAGGAAGACCCATAAAAGTTCTCCTATGAGAGATAATTTCAAAATTCACAGCTTAGATGTTTAATCCAAGGAGTTCACTTAATGAATATTTGTAAACCTCACAGCCTGAAAGACAATCCTGTGGCTGTGGAAGAGAATTAGCCAATGTTCTTTTATTATTTGGTTTTGATTTGCCTTCTTTGTAATTGTTTGGTTTAGTATAGTACATAGATATTTTTGGAATGTGGCTGAATTCAGAATTTTACTCTTTAAGCATATATATGGCCTATGTATTGTATTCAAACTGCTTCTCACCATTATACTCTCTGAGTGAAAATTAAGGTACTACAAGTTGAGCAGGGTGGCTCAAGCCTATAATCCCAGCACTTTGGAAGGCCCAAGCAGAAGGATTGCTTGAGCCCAGACGTTTGACACCAGCCTAGACAATATAGTGAGATCCCATCTCTACAAAAAAATTTAAAAAAAAAAAATTATCTAGGCACCATGGTGTGTGTTTATAGTCCTAGCTACTTGAGAGGCTGAGGCAGGAGGATTGCTTGAGCCCAGGAGTTCAAGGCTGCAGTAAGCTATGATGGTGCCACTGCACTCTAGCCTGGGCAACAGAGTGCGACCCCATCTCAAAAATAAATAAAAGTTAAGGGACTATGAGTGTGTGAATGTAGTTTTAGAGTTTATAAACTGCCTCAGCTAAGCAAGTTCATTCTATTCCCAGTTGAAACTATAATTTAAAGTATGAATTTAAAAACAAATTGGTAGTCCTTATTTTGAAGAAATATCATACATATATCATTTTGTCGATGATGTTCATTACAGCATTATTTATAATTACATTATATTTCTAATAAAATTTCCTAAAATGCCTGCTAGTTTCAAATGGCTAAAACTATAAACTCAACAGCACATTATGCAGATTATAAAAATATGTCGATAAAGTTGTAAACATACTTATATTAATACTATGTAGGGAAAAAAGGAAGTGTATGTGTCACGTGTTTACAAGGATGTAAAACAAAACAACTGAAAAACTATGCATCAAAAAAGACTGGGGGGCCGGGCACAGTGGCTCACGCCTGTAATCCTAGCACTCTGGGAGGCCGAGGTGGGAGGATTGCTCGAGGTCAGGAGTTCGAAACCAGCCTGAGCAAGAGTGAGACCCCTGTCTCTACTATAAATAGAAAGAAATTAATTGGCTAACTAATATACATATATATAATTAGCCGGTCATGGTGGCGCATGCCTGTAGTCCCAGCTACTCAGGAGGCTGAGGCAGGAGGATTGCTTGAGCCCAGGAGTTTGAGGTTGCTGTGAGCTAGGCTGACGCCACGGCACTCACTCTAGCCTGGACAACAAAGAGAGACTGTTTCTCAAAAAAAAAGAAAAGAAAAGACTGGGGGAAATTACACCAAAATGAAAATAGATGTTTTATCTCTGGGTTTTTTTCGGGGGTTGGTTTTTATTCTGTCCCTTCTTTTAATTCTCCTGCATTTTCTGAATTTCCTGTACTAAAACATTTATCACTGTTACAATAGCAAAAATAAAGAAGAAGCCCGACAAACTTCAAGTCAACATGGATTTTCCTGTTTGCACTCAGCTGAAATGTAGCTTTCTAGTGAGACTGAAGAGAGATGAAAACCTTTTCAAAGAGGTCGTTCCGAGGAGGCTTCCAGAAAGCCCTTCCATGAGCGTCTTCAGAGATCTCACCTTTGTGCTCCCCAGCTGAGTTCTCTTGCTCAGGGAAGGTTCTCATAATGAGTGTTCTCATCTTTTCATATTAAAAATGACCTCCTGACCTGAACCTAAGCTTCCCAGATGACTGGGGTTTGGCGGTGCCGGTCACAGCCTGAGAAAAAAATAAAACAAAACTTCTCAGGACTTCATCCTGGTGTTGGATTCCGCATTTTATTTCCACATGAGCTCACGGGCTTTGTCGCTGGTGGTGTTTGTTTTAACTCTCCAGATCCAACAAGGGTGATGGTGCCCCCTTCCAGCATGGACGTCACGGTTGGGGAAAGTATCGTCCTGCCGTGCCAGGTGACGCACGACCACTCCCTGGACATTGTGTTCACGTGGTCATTTAACGGACGCCTGATAGACTTCGACAGAGATGGAGATCACTTCGAGAGAGTCGGAGGGGTAAGTATTAAAATCAAAGAAGTACCATACATATATCATTTAGTCAGTGATGTTCATTACAGCATTGTTTATAATTACATTATATTTCTAATACAATTTGCTAAAAAAACGCCTGCTAGTTTCAGATGGTTAAAACTATAAACTCAAACTAGCCACAAGAATCACAGTATGCTAGTGAACTTCTCGAAACTGACTCACACTAACTTGTTCAGACTAACTTGAAAAAAAATACATGAAAGTTACTATATTGTAGCTTTGTTCGAGCATCTTATGTATTTGGCAGGGCTGCTCATTCATTCCTATTAATGAATTAGGAAACTGAGGCTCACAGAGTTGTATGCCTTGGTTTGGTCTCATAGCTACTAAATTGCAGAGCTCAGCTGTAAACCTCAAATCCTGGGCTCTGTTCCCCGTACCATAGCCTATGCCACAGAACCTGATTAAGAAAAGAGCTTAAGGATAGTTTCCTTATATGTTCTTAGGCTGCTAATTAAACTCCCTTTGGTCTTGTACAAGACCCCTCTTTGTGAACTTAGGGCTTCCTTCAATCTGAAAGTCTGATGGGGTTAATTGTTATCTCCAGGCATAATAATAATTTGAATTCAAATGTTTTAAGTTTCAAAATGCCTTACTTTCCATAAAAATATGTATTATCGTTGAATACATAACAAAAAGAAGTTAAACCATGAAATGATTTGTATCTATCACAGTAGTCCTCAAAAACTGTTTTTCTGGTCTAACACAGCCCTACATTCCCACCGATAATAAAGATTCTCTCCAGCCGCCACTCTCATGGAGGGGTCCAGCCAAAAGACAGAATATAAAAATGGACCTATAATTTGAAAAGCCCTGCCTACTCTCTGTGCCTCCATAAGAATCTGATTTGTACACCCCACTTATGTGGAGAATAAATGCCCTAAAGCTTACAAAGTCATCCGTATGATATATCGGGGGCATATTTTCTACTCCACTATAGTACTAGTCCTGTTCATTGCATTCTTGCTGCATTTCTCGAACAAGGCTTCCCAGCTGAGTCATAGAACACCAGAAATTATTTGGATGACTATTTTCTCAATTCCCACCAAGGATGGTATCTGACTGGTACCACTTTATAGATGCACAGGAGAGAAGTTAATTCATTTCTTCGGTGAATGGCCCCATTCCTTAGGGATTTTCTCTTAGAACCCTAGTTGAGAAAGATGGGATAAAATTGCTAATAGTAACTATTATGGACCTCTTTTGTATGGTTCCACTTAATAACTTTGGCTAAGCAAGAGAAATGTTAACTATTAATGCTTCACAAGGACATTGAGGATATTAAATACCTTGAGGTCTAGCAAAGTACATAGCCCAATGCCTACCACAAGAGAAGTACTTGATCAACTTTAAGGGCTGTATTAATTGAAAGAAGGGTAACATTGATTGTCATAACAGGAAAGCATAAATCAAGAAAATTCTTCATAAATTAAGCAGAATTATTTTTTTTCACACTAAAACCAATTTCTTGGGCAGTGGAAATATTAAAAATACAATCTCCCAGAATGGCATGGGCACCGGCCAATCAAAACTGATGCCTGACTATCAAAATGGGTGGCCTGCCAGTCACAAATGGCCTTCATGCTGGACCAGTGCCAGGGCTGAGGCACAGGGAAGACCCCTACTGGACTCCAGCACTAGTGACCATCTTTCATAGAGACCTACCTGCAGAGTCGCTCTCATCCGCTTTCCCTGTGGGAAAAACGTGTTTCCTCTGTGAAACTAGCATGAACACCAATCAGCTATGGCTCAGGAATTTGTGAGGCTGGGCACAGTGGCTCACGCCTTTAATCTCAGCACTTTGGAAGGCCAAGGTGGAAGGATCACTTGAGGCCAGGAGTTCCAGACCAGCCTGAGAAACATAGCAAGATCCCATCTCTACGAAAAAATTAAAAGAATTAGCCGGGCACATGCCTGGAATCCCAGCTACTCAGAGAGGCTGAGGTGGGAAGATTGCTCGAGCCCAGGAGTTTGAGGTTGCCGTGAGCTATGATGATACCACTGCACTCTAGCCTGGGCGACAGAATGAGACCGTATCTCAAAAATAAGAAAGAAAGAAAGAAAGAGAGAGAGAGAGAGAGAGAGAAGGAAGGGAAGGAAGGAAGGAAGGAAGGAAGGAAGGAAGGAAGGAAGGAAGGAAGGAAGGAAGGAAGGAAATAAGTGCAAATTAAGGATAGCACTACAGCGTGTGAGATCTAAGTGTATGAACCACCAGGATCGTTAATATCTGTGGAGTTCGGACTTACATGCAATTCTGAAGTCGAGCCCATTTCAGTTTCTACTCCTGGGTCAGCATGGTGGCATGATGCTTGGTAGAGTCTGCCTTCTGAGGATTTAGAAAAGTTATTATTTCATTGTCCTCTGATACCTCGGAGTGCTCTCTCAGAAACAGAACAGACTACCGTGGGGGGAAATAAGCTGAAGCCATTGTGTTCTTTTTGTTAGGAACATAAAAAAATATAGATCTTAGTTAATAGTTTGGTCTGGGTGACTTCAAAGGGAAAGAGAAAGTTATCGTGGTGTCCTTCTGTGAGACTCTTACCTCAGGCCTGCCTTTATTTTTTTCTTGGTTTCAGTTTTACTTTAAAGATACTTTAAAGATTCAAAATTTGTAAATAACTAGAGTATGTTCTAATTCACAGAATCACGTATTTCTGTTAATAGGTGGTTGCGCTATGGAACACCCAGGCTACAGATTTCTTTGCCATTCAAGCCTTTGGTGAATAAAATGAATTATTGAGATAGTGTAGGCATTGCCTTAAAGCTAATTTGACTTCCCACCTTAACAACAATGTCCTTTCTCACCTTCCCTGCACACATTCTCTTGTGAGGCGTATTTTGTATTTGAACCTGTGCTTCAAGTCCCAACACGGGAAGTGTCTTCAGTAAATAAGTAATGATAATAACCATAATGCTGATGATAATTTATATACTTGCAAAGTACCTAATCATGTTATCAAGTGCTTCCTTATAGACAGTTGACCCTTGGATGAGTTTGAGCTGCGCAGGCCCACTTATATGCAGTTTTTTTTCAACCAAATATGATTGAAAATATAGTCTTTGCAGGATGCTTAACCTGCAGATACAGAGGGCCGACTTTTCGTATACATGAGTTCTGCAGGGCTGACTGTGGGACTTGGGTTTGTACACATTTTGGTATACTTGGGGTCCTGGAACCAATCCCTGTGTATACCATGGGACGAGTGTACTAGTAGCTAATCCTCACAGAAACCCTATGAAATAGGTTAGCAATTATTTTCCCATTTTACTGAGCAATTATAGGAACTTGATCAGTAAACAGAAGAATCTAGATGAGAACCCAAGTATTATAAATAAAAGGACTTCCTGGCGAACAAAAAAATCACAACTTTTCTTAAATTTGATTTAATATCTTTGACATGATTGTTTCACAAAGTAAATTGATTGTGACCATCGATGATACCAGTTTAGATTTGCTCTGCGCTTCACAGTTTTCTGAAGGATTTCACTTACACATAAAATCGCACTTGATTCTCATAACCTAGCACAAAGTTCCTTCAGAGAGACTCAAAGGCATATGAAATCACACAGCGGGGATCAGCCTAAGACAAACAACTAAGTAGCAAAACTGTAGCTCTTCCTTCACCATATGTTTTTGCCTGTCTTCTAAACCTGTTGATAATTGGCAGTTCCATCTCTTCTATTCTCCTCCATAAGTTTGAGTGTTATGTGCTTAAACAACGGAATAACAATAAGTGCACATTAGTTCTGAATGAGGAAAAAGCCCTTCTAGATGGTAGTATATTAATAGCATTATCATTAAGAACAGGGACTGGAGCTGGCTGTGTGGGGGTTCAAATCCTGGCCCTGCCATGTAGTAGCTAAGTAGCCTTAGGCAAATCACCCGACCTCTCTGTGCTAGAGTTTTCTTGTCTGTAAAAACAAGCATAGCAAGAGTACCTGCGCCATAAGACCTGCGAGTATGCAGAGAGTCAGTATAAGTAGAGCACATGGAAAGTGCCAGCCATGGACTCAATACCGTGAAGTGCCATCCATTGATATTGTCTTTGAAGAAATAGCAACACAAGGGTCTATAGTTGGAAATGAGAAAACCAGGGTGGGCCAGTGCACCCTACATTATCTCGGCATCCATGAGGGGCTCAGAATGCAGTGTAGCTTCCCAGTTCTGGCCCGAAGGGTGGGCTCTTGCTGAAGCAGCTGTTCCCCAAGCTTTTCATTAACAGGGCTATGACACCCAACTCCAAGGCGTAGCAGCGTTCTTCAGCTAAAGCGCTGCCTCTGTGATAGCCCGTGGCAGCATCTCCTCGTACTTATTAAAAGTACTGGCGAACGGTGGAGAAATATTTCTGGGGCGCAGAGACATCCATACCGGGATGTAATTAGTCCTATTCATCTGCTCATCAAACATGCATTTGGTATTTGCAAAACAAATTAGCACTGTTCCACTGTAGGAGATGCAGGATTTCCTTGGAGAGTCTGATCTTCATAATCCTTTAATTCAAACCTGGGAGCAATCAAAATGCTGGCTGTAAGACAGGGTTGTGCAGTAAAAGGCAGATGCCTCCAAATGCGGGCTTCCTTCCTTCTCCCAAATATAATAGAGTTCCAAAGTGTTAGCATGCCAGGGCAGGCTGTAGACTGAAGGCCTGTCTGCAGAATCCCACGGGACTGAAATCGAGAGCCACCTTACGCAAGTTTAAATGCTTCCAACCTGGGTGGCAAACTGCTCCGGAGACCCAGAGAAGCCAGACACCTGAGGTCTTGTCAAAGGTGCGCGGGGAAAACGCCGGTGTTCTTGTCTCTCGGACGGGCCCCCATGCTTTCAACAGGCCACGGATTGCGTCGCTAATGTTTTCGTCAGCCGGTGTAAAATAAATCCATTAGTCACAGTGTCCTTCATGTGATAATGATATCTAGAGCTCATTAAAAAGTAATTGTAGCCACTTCCCCCGACTTCATCAGCAGGACTCAGCCGGCGATCTGATGATCCGGAACATCCAGCTGAAGCATGCTGGGAGGTACGTCTGCATGGTCCAGACAAGCGTGGACAAGCTCTCTGCCACCGCAGACCTGACTGTCAGAGGTACCAGATTCTGTTTTTTATTTCTATTTATTTATTTTTTTGCCCTTAAAGTATTTTTGTGATGTCTCCTCTAGCACGGAGTTCTAAGTACCTTAGTGGTTTAGGATGATGGAACAACGTCAGGCAGAAGCCGAATGTTGTAGACGGTGGCTACGACCTCCAGCCGCTTTGCCTGCGTGTCCAGTTTCTCGTAGGGGATTGCTGCAAAGCGCCCGGAGCTAATCCAGTTACTTTACACTAAAAATAACTCCTTTGAGTGCACTGATGATTATGGCTGTTGGAGTTGATACGACCTTTCAGAATGACTTGAGATTAACAAAAGCAAACAGTTCAAAGAGGGGATCACACTGTGACTTTTTATGCCTCATCCGGGCTCAACTGAATTCGTAATTTAGGCCACTGGTATAACATTGGATTTAAGTAAAATCATCACCAGGTTTTTCTTGGTTTCCTTTCTTTCCCTGAAGTGAATAGTGCCGTTGAGTTCCTAAATTAGGGCTTTGCGGGTGGGGAGGTGGGGAACGGCACTTCCTGACTTCCTGAGATGTAGTAAATAAACTGGGAGTCGACGTGAAAACTCACATATGTGAGATGCGCTTGCGCACTGCCAACGTGGCCTAATTTGGACCTCGCAGCTATGCCCAGCAAGGCTGAGCCACACAGCTTGAGTGCGTTCCAAGTCTCACCAAACCAGTTTGTAAAGGAACTGTAAACGGACATTTTTAAGAACTATTTTTAAATGAAAATTAAAATATTTTTAAGAACTATTTTTAAATGAAAATTAAAATATTTGTGAACCACAGTATACACTAGAGCCAAATCTCTGAATGCTCAGCAGTTTTCTAAAGTATTAAAAGTGAGGCCAGGGGGGGAAATGGGCATTTATTGAAACCTTAAAATCTGTACCCCCATAATATGCCAAAATAAAAAAAAAAAAAAAAGTGAGGCCAGATCCCATCCCGCTCTTATCTCAAAAAAAATAATAAAAAAATAAAAAATAGAAAAAATAAAATAAAAGTGAGGCCGGCCAGGTGCAGTGGCCCATCATGCCTGTAATCCCAGCACTCTGGGAGGCCGAGGCAGGAGGAACTCTCAAGGTCAGGAATTGGAAACCAGCCTGAGCAAGAGCGAGATCCCCGTCTTGCTAAAAAATAGAAAGAAATTCATTGGACAGCTAAAAATATATAGAAAAAATTAGCCGGGCATGGTGGCGCATGCCTGTAGTCCCAGCTACTCAGGAGGCTGAGGCAGGAGGATCGCTTGAGCCCAAGAGTTGGAAGTTGCTGTGAGCTAAGCTGATGCCACGGCACTCTAGGCCAGGCAACACAGCGAGACTCTGACTCAAAAAAAAAAAAAAAAAAAAAAGAGGCCATCACAGAGCATCAAAATAATCTCTTGGCTGCTGGAGTTCCTGAACTGTTGGTGTTGAGGCATCTCTGGCCAGCCGAGCCCACAGCAGAACTTTGAATGCAAGAACATAAAAATGTAGGCTATCAGAGTTGGAGGCAGGGTGAGTCTGAATGCACAGGGAGCAAGGTACCCTTGGAAGCAACAGAAAGTGTTGCAAATATCGTCTCTGCATAACGTGAGGGCTGAAATGAGGGAGCATTAGCAACTTAAAACTAATTGTCCAGAGAGGTCCAAGAAAAATAGCATTCCATCATGTCTGCTTTGCCTCCCCTTTAAATTGCCTAAAACCTTTTCAGTCATGGTGCAGGTAAGGGCTAAATAAGAGAAAAACTTCCAACCTAGGTAGATCTGCCCACATAATAACTTACGGAAACATGTTTATTTCCATTTTAAAATACACCAGCGTGGGTCTGCTCTCCCCTCGGGGGGCAAAAGAATTCTGTTGCTGAAATTTATCCTCTGTTTAATTAGGATAATGTTCAGATCAGCAGCTTAAACACCAATAAATTAGACTAATAAATATTTAAATCAGTAATACTCGAAGTTCTTAAATGATATTGTATACTTCATTTCACAGAAAATAACATTAAATACCAAGAGGAATTTGCAAACGCAGTGCAAAAGGAAATCTAGTGTCTCATCAGTTAATAAGGCCAATAAATTAATGTGCCATTTAAAGCCATAATCTTTCATTTTATCTCCTCCTGCTCTGCCCTTGCAGCTTTTCTCCACATTACGGAGGGAAGGCAGAAACGCATTTTGCCACCCGTAAGAGATTTTCGTATTTGAAACTAGAATAGCTTTGAGTCTTGGCTCTGGCTGCTTTGATTCTATTTAACCTACAGCACCGTAATGGCAGCAACAGTGGGAAGCAGACGCAGGTATCGGACCGATATTCATCCTTTGCCGTTAACCTGGGACAAAAACTTGCAGGGACCTCTGAGCACGTTATCGTTTTGTTCAGAGGACAAAGATTTGCACATTTTGTCATTTTGAAAGAGGGAGCCAACTTCCCTAAAACCAAGTTGGTAAACATTCTGCAAAGCGGATCTCTGCCCAGTGAGGGGACAGATGCAGGAAGATAGAGACCAACAGACCCAGGAAAGTACCATCTTCTCTCTAATGGCCAAATTCACACCAGCCCTTCATTTCCTTCCCACACGGTGGCCAACAACAGGCTCAGATACTTCCCATCGATCGAATTCTTTGAGACGTTCACAGGGGAACACTTTTCTATTTGTGGTACTTAGATGCTAAAGGCCATTGAAGCAGCATCCATAAAAGAAAAAAAGATGGAGAGTGCTAGGATGAGAAAGCTGGTAAGGAAAAAAAAAAAAAGATTATATTGTCTTCTGGACCTTATCTGGTTAAAAAGATTCCCAAAGACCAAAGGTTACATCAGCCCTATCTCGATGGCATTCGATTGACGTGCTGAAATGTCACCATGGAAAGTTAATCAGTTCCAGCATACAGATTTTTCAGACATTTCATTCAGGAGTGGGAGGGAGCAGATAAATTTAGTCTCACCTGTGTGTCTATAAAAACGGTTTTTAAAAAAGGAAAGGGAATTTAGGGCATCCTATGAAGGGTAAAGGAGTGAATTCTAGAACAAAGTCTAACTTCAGGAAAGTGCCATTAACTTTTCGCCACTCTGCGAGACGTCTCTTTTCCCTGTCCCTGCGACGTGGCCATGTAGTGTTTTGGTAGTACATTTGATTGCTCTACTGGGGATTAGTAAATCCCTCCTGCGAATATCTTCTTATGCCCGTTGAATGGGCATGGGGCTTGTCATTATGTCCCTGCAAAATCACCTTCTCTCCAGAGGCGTTCGGCTGTGCCTTGTTAAAAATGCATTTAACTGCCTGGTAAGAGCGTTCGTGTTGGAAGCTGGGCCAGTGCTGGGCTTTTGCTCTGGCTCTGCTGTTATTTTGTCTTTGCCCACCAACTGCTTTCCATCCCTCTGCTTCTTTTGTGACTCTCAAGCCCTCATTTAAATCTGATTTCCGCCCCCTTTCGATGGTTTAAGCACAAGGAAAGAAGCAATGCACGTCAGGAAGATAAGCAGAAAAATACAGGTGTGACTGTCGGAAACGACAAATGAGGGTGTTTCGACTCCAGCCCAATTTTGAAATTGCTTTGAAGAGGGGAGAGCCTCGTGACTGTCGAGCACAGCACATTGTCACAGCGGTTCCCTTGCACACCAGCGTGTGCTCGTATGGGATGCGGGGGTGGGGGGGGTGGGGAGGGGCAAGGGGCTGTGCTAGCAATGACAGGGGAGAGGAATGTGCAGAGCAGCACTGTGACTCCCCAAATCTCAAAGCCATTTCCTGCCCAAATCCACAAATCCATATTCTCCGTGGTGAAAATGACCATTTCCAGCAGACTGTAATCTTCATAAAATCAGCAGCAGGATCTGTCTCTTCTCCTGACTTTGTCCCCAGATGACAGTGCCTGTCGCATAGTAGCAATCTACAAACACACGAGGAAGGAATTCATGAATTGGGGCCCTTCACGGTAGCCGGTAATTTTAACATCAAAACAAATACTCTGTTGTAATTCTTTGTTTACATGTAAGTTCCTCCTGTTGTGCTGTGAGCCTCAAGGAGGAAGAACTGTGTCTCGTGCATTTCTGTGGCTTCTGTGGCTTCAGAGCCCAGCGGGGTTCCCACCATCTAGTACCGTGTTGCCCCCCAAATCAGACAGGGTCTTATATTTATTTTTCCTCAAGAAGACACCCCAGGGCTTATTTTCAGGGGATGTGTTATTTTTTTTAAGCACGGTACAACAACCTACATTTATCCAAATCTAGTGAAGTCGTCGTCTTCTGGAACATCATCTTCACTCTCCAGACCCCGAGTCCCATCCTGAATGTCTTGCGACTCTGTTTCCTTTAGAGCCATCGGCCCCGATCTCTCCTGTGGAGCACTAGAGCTGTCACGGGCGGATGAGAAGGGCTGCTAGTGTTCTTTCCCGCTCCGCGACGACATACATGGGTTGTGCAGATGCTCTGCATAGCCATGCCCATCGCTAGGTCTTATTTTCAGGGTAGGGCTTACGTTGAACAAATGCTTAGACATCTTGCTAGGGCTTATTTTATGGGTAGGTCTTATTTTCGGGGAAACACGGTAGGTGTTCAGAAAGGATTCGACAAGTGCTAGATCCGTGCATGGGTCAATAAATGATTGAATGGGTCAGCACCCATTCAAGTCAGCGGATCATTTACGTAGACGTTTGAACACACTGCTCCGATTCTGAGCACCTCGCTCTTTTTCCCAGGTCCCCCAGGCCCCCCCGAGGCTGTGACCATAGATGAAATCACAGACACCACGGCTCAGCTCTCCTGGAGACCCGGGCCTGACAACCACAGTCCCATCACCATGTACGTCATCCAAGCCCGGACTCCCTTCTCCGTGGGCTGGCAAGCAGTCAATACAGGTACCATATTGGATGCTTGGTGCGGGGCCTTCTGGAACTCAGCGTAATAATGCACAAAGCACTGCTGTAGATGCCAACAGGCATCGAGGTTCTCACCCAGACACTACTATAAATGACACATTATGACTGTTTCCCAAACCTCAGCCCATTCTACTATCTTCCGTTTAATATTTTTCTGGATATCAACTCACATTTCTTCTTTAACTCCTCCTAAGCAATAATATCTCTGCAATGATGCATCTGTTGTGCTGGTTATACATTTTTTTCTTAGCACATACTAAAAAAAATACACTAGTTATAAAAATGAAATGCATCAATTTGTGCCTTACCTAAAATCATCTGTGTTTCACTGTGGTACACTTTGGGAAACAGTGGAACCTGCTAGACTACAATCACAGTCTTCGCAAAGTTTATACACTGCTCTCAATAACCAATAACTAAGGACTGTAGAGAGTCTCTTAATGCCCGTTTTTTAAGATGGAGAAATTTGGGGATAAAATGATATGGGGGGGTTAACCAATTTTAAAGATGCAAGGTGTTGGTTTTTTTTTAACCATTGTTAGAAGCAGCATTTTCATCCTCTTCATTCATTATATTTATACAGCACTTCCTATTTTTTTGAAAAGTTTCACATTCGTTTCTCTTTGAGCCTTAAACAATTCTTATACCATCCTCGCTTCTGTCAATACCTCCAAGTTGACTCACTGTTTAGTTTAGATTTCATTTGGGGAAAAACTGGACAAACAAGTAATCGTAAGCAAGATGCACACTCCTCTAGACCCTAACGCTTAACGGTGTGGCCTCGGTGTTTCGAAGGAGAAATAAATGGAGTGACATGCCCTGGTTTATGCAGTACGTATGAATTGTCTTGATTTTAACAACCCCAATTTGTTTTATTCATTTTAGCTTACGGATCCTCAGAAATGGGTTTCTGTGTTTCCTGCCGTAATCCCTTGGCTTTCTGCTGAGTCACGGGAGTGCTCTAGGAAGGAAAGGCGAGGAAAATCTGGAAGTTAGGAGATGAGCCCTGATCCTGGCTTCTAATGAGCTGATCATTGTACCTCTTCATTTTCCTCCTCCGTTAAATGAGCACACTAAGAATCTGTTTAAGAAGGAACATAGTAATTTTACCTTGTATCGTGGGATAGTTTCGAGAATGAAACAGTGTGCCTGGCATTAAATGATAAATGCTGGAAAACATGTTAGGGTGATAGCAATAATGATTGCAGTCAAGTAGGCTTGGGTCCTGAGGACTTTGTGTCTTTTATGTTGTCATCGTCCGCTGGTATCGGATTTATTAGTTTACATGCATAGATGGAGATGACCTCCCTGTAATGGCCGTTTGTGCAGCTACTGTCAGACCACCTACACCGCCCTGCATGCAACGATGATGATGGTGGATGCTCCGCCCTTCCTGTGGCTGCCTCTGCATTCGTTTTCTGAGAATCCTACGAAGCAGTCCCCTCTTCCCCCTCCTTCTGATGTCTTTCAGTCCCAGAGCTCATCGACGGGAAGACGTTCACCGCCACCGTGGTGGGTTTGAACCCTTGGGTGGAGTACGAATTCCGCACGGTCGCCGCCAACGTGATCGGGATCGGGGAGCCCAGCCGTCCCTCGGAGAAGCGGAGGACGGAGGAAGCCCGTGAGTAGCACCCGGGAGACAGCCTGTCCCGGCAGCACCTGCTCCTGGGGGGGGGGGGGGGAGGCACCGGCTTCTTGCCGCTCTCCAGCCCTAACGAGGCTCTGTCTTCGCAGCCCCTTCCCCTTAAATGATGAGGATGATCAGAAATCAGGCCAGTAGAGTCTCAGCTTCACAGGCAGTGAGTTTCGGTCAAGAGTGAAGTTCCCTTCATTGGGTCCGCTTATGTAGCAAGGAACACACGCACACTGTGCTTGGCTTTCTCAAAAGCCACCTCTTTCTTCATCGATTCATTTGTCACCAAGATGCCCCTAACAGGAATTTTCTTTTTTTTTAAATACCCCACCCTTCAGATAAAAATCATCTCACGGAAAGCACTAATGGCAAAGAATAACTTCTTTAGAAATGTTCGCTACCATTTTCTTAGGGTATGAACTGTTCCCAAAAGCTATGATTCAGAACATGCTGCTAATTCATACAAGACCAGTCAGCAATTTAGTACAGCCTTCTGCACACACGGCCTGAGTGAGCACAGGGCGAGAATAACAGATTTGTCTCAGTCAGTCATAATTTTATTTCCCCAATGTGAAGCCAGAGGCCTGCGTGTGTGGTCTTTATGGAGAGTTCCCAGCTGTGGAGAGGCCAGAGTATTGAAGGAAATAGCAAAGTCTCTAAGCAAATGAGAGCTCTGAGCCTATTCTCAGGGAAAAAAAAAAAAAATCCACCTAGATCTGTGTCCCTGGCTTTAACTAAGAGGGGACCTCCCCAGTCACCAGGTACATGCCCCAGTGAGATATTTTTTATTCTGTCTGGAGTTTTTCAGCTCCATGATGATACTATAGCTAACCCCATGCTTTCTCTTCACCCTTCCTGAACTGTAATTAAGTCCTCCCAGCCACCCTGAGGAGGAAGCTAGCATGATGTCCCCTCTGTTACGGAGAAAACTGGGCATCAAAGAGGTTAAGCACAGTGATCCGGGGGTCAGCCTGTGTCCACCACTTCCTTCGACACCCAGCTCAGAGCTCACCTTCCTCCCAGAAGCCGTAGTGGCCCCTGCTCTGAGCAGCCCGCTACTTCTCCATGCCGTCTGTCCCCTGCTCTTGTGTGTCGTCAGCCCTGCTCTGTGATCGCTGTCTGTGTGCTCTCGTCCCCCCGCCCCCAACCAGATTGTCACCAGGCTCTGCAGGGGCCGAGTCCGTACCGTCTTTCCTTTGTGTGCCACCACTCAGTTAATAAACGCGTTAGGACCAGAACCTCAGCCCTGTCCTCTTCCCGGGAGCCTCTCGGCCTCTGGGGGACCGAGCTTCAATTGTCCAGACGTGTCAGATAACATGTGTGCCTTGTTGGACGCGAAACAGGTAATTAATGGCAATTTCCTTGGTGCGTTTCGCTTCCTCAAGCTGATGCCCCTTGGCGACAGTGTGTCCAATCCCAAAGGACAAAGGTAGACACGGTGTACTTGGCACCACAGCACTCTCTGAAGGCGAGTCTCCTCGGCCAGGCAGGCGACCTTCCTGGCCCCCGCGTGACTTTGCCATTTGACGTGACTTGTGTTCTTTGTCTCCCGAGCAGTCCCCGAAGTCACCCCGGCTAACGTCAGCGGCGGAGGAGGCAGCAAGTCTGAACTGGTTATAACCTGGGAGGTAAATGAATCACAGAACAGAAGGAGCATGCGTTTGAGCTGTTTTATTATTTTCCTCCGTGTTAAACATAGCCGTGAAATTGCCTCCTCTGTATTTCACAGCTAAAGTCCATTTGAGCGCAAACACTCCCTTTCCGTAGAGCTAATGGCCAGCGGGAAAAGACGGTGCCTTGCCCATCAATCGTAGAGGCAAGCTTTAATTTGATTCATCACGGGAAAAACAGTCGTGAAAGGGAAAACAACACAAGCAAAAAAATATATACACACACACACACACACACACACATATATATATATATATATAAAAGGTTAGTTCAGAGAAAACCAGTTTTTCTCTTCTTCCTGAATTGCCACATTGCCCGTTGATTTAAACATCTGCTTCCTGGCCATTGACTTTGCTTCTGGAGCCCTCTCTTAGGAGATATTTTTTTAAACAACCTGGAGGAAAGTTAGGCACCAATTTATTAAGTATTGACTATTTGAGAGGAGGTGGGAGCTTTAGGAAAGGATTCTTAATGTATTTTTTTAAAGAGTCGAGACAGCAGCCCCAGAAATTAGGGTCTTTTCACTTACCCAGAGCGCAGCCATGAAAGAAACCCCGCACCCTCCAGCTGGACTCCGCTCGCTCGCTCTCTCTCTCTCTCTCTCTCTCTCTCTCTCTCTCTCTCTCTCTCTCTCTCTCTCTCTCCTGAGCCGTAAGGGTCTTTGTTCCTTCAATGAGATCATTTGTCTCTTTTGCACCGGAGGGAGGAGATGAGCATTAGGACGGCAGGTGCCAAAAACGTCGGTTTTTAGGAGATCGATGTCCAGGTTCTTTCCCGATCTTTTCCCGCTGTCTTAGTTGAGAGCGTGCCCCATCAGAGAGCCAGGCTCTGAACTGCAGGTCTTCATTTAGGTCATTAACCCTGCCATCGGCACAGCCCCACGTGAGCTATTGAAAGTAGCCTGTAGCTAACCAGTCTTCCTATGCTGTCCTGGATTAAGCTTAAGCCGGTTGTCCAAAGTGAGGCAACACAAGATAAGGAAAGTGGGCTCCCCATCTCCTCGCCATCAAACTGGTACTGACTGATTAAAACTATGGTGCTCAAATGGTGGTGGTGCTCAGCAGGGTTTAGGGGAGGGGGAGACACACATCTTAGGGTTGTGGCAAACATTTGGGGGGGGAAGGAATACCTCTAACCCTTCGTAAGGAAAGGCAAAGGTATACAATGTAACCAAAAGGTCAAAAAAGGAAAAAAAAAAAAGAAAACTTTTATCAGGTGGTGGGCAGATGGGAGGGGGAGGAGGGGAAGGATATATACTTACAAAACAGGTGCAATGCGCACCACCTGGGGGCTGGACACGCTTGATGTTTTGGCAAGGCGAGGGGCAGGGGGAGGAATGGCAGGGGCGATATATGAAACCCTAACAATATTTGTACCCCCATAATATGATAAAATAAAAGGAAAAAATAAAAGGAAAAAAACAGGAAGAACAAAAAAGTAAACAAATAACTAAAGTAGCCTGACCGCAAGCCCTAGACTCAAAAGACTCCTGACAAAACCCCAAATGAGATACGGAGGGCAGGGTGTAGACGAGGATGTCGAGGCTGGAGGGAGCACCTTCCAGGTTCGGGTCGAGCCGCCGTGGTCTCTGAAGGCCGCCTCCCTCCCTCCCTCTGTCCCCAGACGGTCCCTGAGGAGTTACAGAACGGGAGGGGCTTCGGCTACGTGGTGGCCTTCCGGCCCTACGGCAAGATGAGCTGGATGCTGACGGTGCTGGCCTCGGCGGACGCCTCCAGATACGTGTTCAGGAACGAGAGCGTGCGCCCCTTCTCGCCCTTCGAGGTGAAGGTGGGCGTCTTCAACAACAAGGGGGAAGGCCCCTTCAGCCCCGCCACCGTGGTGTACTCCGCAGAGGAAGGTAGGGGCCACGCTGCCTCCCTGGTTGGATGTTTCTTCAGCTCTGAAATATGTCAGGGCGTGCTAACCCACTGAGCGCTGTGCGTGTCAATTGAAGGCATGCCCTGGTTTGAGAAAAGGATAATGCAAAAAAATGTGGTCCGTTATCCACCGCCAATCTCTTGAAAAGACAGCAGCTCTGCCCCTATATAGGAACACATGGCTGTCACCATTGATTGCATTCATTGCTAAACACCCGAATTGTGAGTACCCCATAAGATCCTCATATCTGTACGTACATGCCATCGTTGCACTTAAAAGGATTGTATGCTATGCCTTTAGGTGAATGTCAAAACAGGCTTCGCATTTTATCTCACCACTTGTATTTCCATAAATCATATTGTACTTACAATTTATTCTAACTCATTAAAGAAAAGAGTAAGTCACGAAGCACTGTGGTTGCATTCATTGCCATCCACACTGTCATTATGTTTAATGTTTCTGACACATTATTACCACTTCTGTGCTGCGCCTGCTCTCAGGATGCCTCCCACACAGCGTTCCTTCCCGTTGGAGTTCAGCTATGTTGTTTTAAAGATGATGTTCAGAATGAGGACATATTCAAACGTCTGAGGCTGGTCCCAGTGTCTCACGCCTGTAATCCTAGCACTCTGGGAGGCCGAGGCGGGAGGATCGCTTGAAGTCAGGAGTTCGAAACCAGCCAGAGCAACAGCGAGACCCCGTGTCTACTAAAAATAGAAAGCAATTGATTGGACAGCTAAAAATATATAGAAAAATCAGCCGGGCGTGGTGGCACATGCCTGTAGTCCCAGCTACTCGGGAGGCTGAGGCAGAAGGATCGCTTGATCCCAGGAGTTTGAGGTTGCTGTGAGCGAGGCTGACGCCACAGCACTCTAGCCAAGGCAACAGAGGGTATCTTGTCTCAAAAATACTCTGTCTCAAAAAAAAAAAAAAAAAGAGAAAGAGAAAAATTAGCTGGGTGTGGTGGCATGCATCTGTAGACCCTGCTATTCAGGAGGCTGAGGCAGGAGGATCACTTGAGCCCAGGAGTTTGAGGTTGTAGTGAGTTAAGATGATGCCACTGCACTCACTCTACCTGGGGCAACAGAGTAAGACTCTGTCTCAAAAAAAAAAAAGAAAGAAAAACTTTAAGTTGAGTAATTAATTTAGAGTCAGTTAAGATGCAAGAAATTCTTCTCCCCAAGTAGAATAATGATCCCCTTAGATTCAGTAGTCCTCCGTCATACAGCCCCTGCTTCTGTCTGTACCAACACCTGATGCTCTTCCCTGCATACTCCGTGCTCCAACCAAATCCAAAGGATTTACAATGATCCAAAAACTTCACCCCCTTGCATAGGCTTCATCTTCTCCTAGGTGACGGTCCTAGTCACTAGATTATGAAAATGGGAGAGACAAGGAAAAGGGGCAGTCAAGTGAGTTGGCTAAAACTTAGGAGAGCTAGGTGACAGTGCAGTCCCATGTTCCAATCTGTGTAACACAAGTATAAACTCTCCGGGCCTCAGCATCTTCAGCTGCAAAGGAGAGGCTGGACGGACACTTCCCAAATGTCAGCTATTTTTCCCAGATGCTGCCAGAACTATGTACCATTTGTATAGGTTAACATTTTCCTTTCATGCGTCTTTCTTAAAGAAAAACATAGTTTAGCCAACGTCGTAAGCAATAAAATTCATTAAATGCTAATTAAGAAGGATCTGCGTTAAAGGAATTGCTGGCTGTGAAAATTTGGCGCTTAAACGTACCTAGTTATGGGTTCCTTCTCTTCCACCTACCCCCAAATTTAGAGCCGAAAGACATTGGACAAAGTTTCACACTATCCCCAACCCTCTGCCGTTAATCACTGCTCTTCTGCAAAATGAGGGTTTGGCTCACAATCATTAAGGATGATTCTATAACCCTGAATTGTTTTGTACCTTGTGTCACGCCAGTATCAAGAAGCCTGTCCAGGTACAGCTGATAGAGTAATAACTTTTTCCACATTCGTCTGCAGAACCCACCAAACCGCCAGCCAGCATCTTTGCCAGAAGTCTTTCTGCCACAGACATTGAAGTCTTCTGGGCCTCCCCCCTGGAAAAGAATAGAGGACGCATACAAGGTTACGAGGTAGGCAAGAGGCCTTGGGTCTGGCAAAGAGTCTATGCCCCTCAGTGAGGCCTCCAAGACACCCTCTGATGAGAAAAGACCCAGGCCTGGCTTCTAGCTGGGCATTTCTGGAAGCATTGAACATCCAGCTGTGAGATTACCCTTTTTCTGTGTTACACTCTAGAGGTATTTTTCAAAATACACGCAAGTCTAAGCATTTATGAGATGGTTGACAAAATGAGCTTTGAATTTCTGATATGCCCGGGATCACTTGAGCTCAAAACAAATGTGGGCTGGGGGTGGGGAAAGAGGAAGAAATAACCAATGAGGGTTGTGCCGATTTAGCATCTCACTAGGAAGTGAAGAAGAGAAAAGGGACCCTTCTTACTGTGGATAATTTCATGGGACATACCATGAAAGTTCTTTGTTCTGAAAGGTCTGCTTCATGAATGGGTATAGAAAACTAACTCTTGCATAAAAATGTGCATAAAAAAATTACTGCCAGGTGACACTGGAAATATCCCCAGTGGGTGTGATTCCCAAGGTCTTTCTTTTTATTTTCTCAGGTTAAATACTGGAGACATGAAGACAAGGAAGAAAATGCGAGAAAAATACGAACAGTTGGAAATCAGACATCCACAAAAATCACCAACTTAAAAGGCAGTGCGCTGTATCACTTGGCTGTCAAGGCATATAATTCCGCTGGGACAGGCCCCTCCAGTGCCACAGTCAACGTGACAACCAGGAAGCCACGTAAGAGCACACTTGCTCAGGAATACTTGGGGGGCATGCATCAAACATATCCCAAGTTCATTTTCTGGTCCCACCTCCCAGTGATCATTTGCATACTAATCAGCAACACTATGTGGTTTCAAATTTCCCTTAACATCTTAACTGAACCTTTCTGAATACCACGCAAAATCCAACTGCTCCGGAGGACAGAAAGATAAATGTTTTCTCCTCGCTGGGAAGGGCTACTTCTCTTAGCTATAAATGTTAGGCGACCAACTGAATCTTTTTCCATTTGCGATGCCGTATCTCATCAGATTTTAGTGACCTTGAAGACACATATTAGTGCAATCGCCCATTAAATTGTCTCCACTCTCAAATGCTAGTACAGAGATATTCCTCAGAATCCGTTGAGACTTAATAATCTGTGACTTCGTATATCTTAATTTTTTATAGCACCAAGTCAACCCCCCGGAAACATCATATGGAATTCATCGGACTCCAAAATTATCCTGAATTGGGATCAAGTGAAGGCCTTGGATAATGAGTCTGAAGTAAAAGGATACAAAGTGGGTAATTTCTTTTCTTTGCAAAGGCACCTAATCCTGCATGAGTGGGGTTAGTCTCTCACGTGAATCATACGGTCGATTCGAATTCTTAACGTTCTCTGGTGCTCTCCCAGCCTCTGTAGGAGTTGCTGCCCCCTAAGTGGTGTGGTCTGAGTTTTATAAGTGTGGTCTGTGGCCACTGGCCTGGATTTAGACAGTCACCTAAAAAAGGTTAGGCAGAAATCCTGAAGAAGCGTTTTTTAAACATTCCTGCTGTCAGCTTTGTTTTGATCTTGTCTCAGTATTTTTTTTAAATCAACACTAGAAACTTCCCAATATTACTAATGATTAATCATTTTTTGTTCATGTTTCTATAGTTTCTATAGAAAAAGCAAAATTTTTCAGAAAATTTGTTTGCCTGATCCCATGAATGTTGGCCTATCTTTAAAGAGAAAATGGGAAAGAACATGTATATAGTCTCATTGCCACAGTTAAAAGGGGTTATACATATCTTGACAAGGTGTTCAGCTGTCTATTTCTGCCTAACAAACCACTCCAAAGCTAGGGGCTAAAACAACAATGACGCATCATGCTTCATGATTCTACAATCTGGACAGGGCCAAAATAGGCAGTTTCTCGGGCTGGAATGTCTAAGATGCTTCTTCACACACTTCTGGCTCCTCACTTGGAATGACAGGTGGAACTGGAGCCTGGCCAGGGATCATTCTCTGCACGAGGCCTTTCCGCGTGGGTAAGTTGGGCTTCCTCACAGTATGGTGGTCTCAGAGTAGACGGACTTCTTACTTACATGGTTGCTGGCTTCGAGAAGGAGAAAGCAGAAGCTGCCAGTCCTTTTTAATAAAAGCTAAAGACGAAACTGACCACTGTGAGGCCACCTCAGATTCAAAGGGAGAGGAAATGGTTTCTGCCTCTCGGGGTGAGGAGCAACTTGCCTGTGCAGACGGGGAAAGAACTGATGACGGCTATACTTATAGACCACGGCATGCATTGAGACGCCGTGACCAGGAGATTGACAAATCTGTGAGGGATGAACAAAGGAACCGAGGATATTTAGCTGGATAAACAAGGCTCAGAAGCATGATAACCACTTGCAATATCTGAAGGGCTATTGTAAGACACGGCAAGTAGAATTGTTCCTCAAGGTTACAAGGAATAAAACTATGGCCAATGAGTGAAAGCTACATGGAGGTATTTCGGCTCAGTTTTGCTTTCTGATAGCCAAAGCTCTTCAAAAACGGACTGTCAGGGAGAGATGGAGGGTTCTCCATCACTGCAAATAATCTAGCGTTAGCTGCATCACCCCAAGGAGATGTTAGAAAAGGAAATATAATGTGGCTATTTAAATTATATGGCATTTTGTTCCCTCTCTAGCGCTAGAATGTTATGAGTAAATGGCTTTCAAAAAGCTTTTGAGAAACCATAATCACTGGGCTATGTTAACAATGTTCTTGACCTTCAGTGGTTTCGTATTCAAAGAAAAATGGTTCTTACAACTTCAATGAACTGTCCCGTAGTTTTCATTGTAAAAAGAAGATTATAAATCTGGGCATGGTGGCGCATGCCTTATAGAGTCCCAGTGACTGGGAAGACTGAGGCAGGAGGATCACATGAACCCAGGCGTTTGAGTTCAGCCTGGGCAACATAGCGAGACCCTGTCTCTAAAATAAATAAATAAATAAATGAATAAAATACAAAAATAAAGTAAAGGAAGATTATAAACCCAAATCTGTGATGTTGAAAATGTTTTCAAATAGGAAAGCTTGGAAGGCAAAATTTTCAGGAGTTTTGTGAACTGGTCTTTTGTCTACCCACAATAAATGAAAGGATCGCAGAGACTAGAGAACTTGAGAGGCAGACGCAGGCAGGTGGAAGCTGTAGCCAACGAGAGAGAGTGCTGCTGTCAAGATGCACCAGCTGCTCCTAACTTCCTGCCTCCGCCGTGGCCTCGTGAAAAAGTGGGCACAACGCCCCAGATATGTCGTTTCGAAAGATGGCAGGAAAAAAAAAATATGGATTATTCTGCACAATTTTTCCATTTTTAAATGTTGGCAACTCCTCTAATTTTGCTTTGTTTTGCTTTTAAACAACATTCGAGGTAACGGAATACAAGCCAGATAAAATCGGTGTGCAGTCTGAATTGAGCCTGCAGGCTGCGGCTTGCGACACTTTTGTGCAGAGCTGCTGAGCTGGCAGAGAGACAGTGCTGTCAGGCACTGGTTAGAGAACACGGGGCATTGGGAAGCAGTAGGTGAAGCAAGGGCTGGAATTAGGGGTTGATGTGGAAGGAGGTAGAGCCTTAGATAATGTGCATAGAGAAAAACTCAGAAGACCCTCCCTGCCATGTACTGTTTTTCCTTCATCCTCATGGCACAGTGACTTGTATTCTGCCAGTGGAGGAACATTCCCTGAGAACTCATCTGCAGAGCTTTCACTGGATCCTTTTTGAAACCAGACTCTTCTGGGAGGATCCTAATATATAGGACAAAGAGATAGGAATTGGATGTGACTTTAGGTAAATCACTTAACTCTCTAGGACTGCATTTACTTTTTTTTTTTTTTTTAAACCAAAGGAGAAATTTCTAGTGTCTTTATTTTTCTCTGACCCTTTGCAAATCTGTTCCTTCTTTCCTGGACTGCCACCCCATGTGGCCCCAAGGAGCCACTCAGCTTTCGGGTCTCAGCATAGAAGCCTTCTCTTGATGGCTAGAGCTCCTTCTAGTTACCAGATTTAAAAAAAAAGAAATACTTTGCATCCTCTTGGGTAGTTGCCAATTAACTGATGACTTATTGTAAATTCCCAGACTATGGGCTTCCAGAGCACCATGCTTGAATTGTCACTGTTATTTCCCCAGCCAAGGATACATTCATTCCCTATGGTCATATTATTAGAGTGGAGGTTGTATTAGAATGGAGATCTCACATCCTAAACTCCTAGATCATTAACCTCTTGGTGTGAAATAATGTGAAAGAGCTTATCTGATCGGTTTTGTCCAAGATAAAACAGACATGGGGTTGAATAAGTTGGAAGACGGATGAGCGAAGGGAAAACTAAAATGAAGAGAAGAAAGAAGGCTAGAATGAAGACAGACCTTTGCAACCTTGGATTTCTGACCCAGGCTAACACTGCCGGAGCACCTTGACCTCGATTACCACAACAAGCAAAAGCGCATGAGATGCGGGGAAAACTAATTTAACCAAACCAAGGGAGAGAGTAAAAAAATACAAGAGAAAAATTTTTCCTCCCAGCTTCCAGTTACACCTGGTAGACCAGGTAGAAGAAAGCACAATAAAACACAGTAAGCTTTGAGAGTCCCTGGGAACTGCACAAGCTCCATGGGCAAACCTTTAACTAAATTCGAAGCTCCTTTTCAAGCTGTTGCTAAAATAAAACTGGTGGGCAGGGAGCTACCCGAAGCATTTCAGCAGCCAGGCAAAATGTTCACTTGGCGAAGGATTCTAGAGATCACTTTATAGGTGCAAAAATAGAAGTCCATCAAGTACTGTGATGTGGAGTTCCTCCAGCTTTCTCAGGGGCAGGGATCAATGAAGCCGGTCTGCTTCAGTGAACTGTGTCTGAGAAATTATAGGTGTTAGAAGAAAAACTGAGTAACAATTATTATTTAGTTGCTACTTCTTTGCAAAGAAGTGGTAGAGTCTCAGAGACTCACATGAGCTTGTCTTGGTAGCACCCTTCCAAGAAGGTCTACCTTACGTTTATTACCTCAACACCTGCTTTTGCAGACATCCAGAAGATTCGCTTGAGCAGCATAAAATCAGGCAGCATGTGTGGTGGGGACAAAGCAGGTCAGGACACACTGAAGTGGCGTTTGACCTCCAAGGAAAGATCTGCTGGGCTTAGTGTAGGATTTAGGGAAACTGCTCTTATTTCTATGGAAATAAAATAAGACATTGGAACAAATTGAAGTTTCAGATATGAGCAGACCAGATGATAAACATAGACTTAGACATTTTTTTCCCAAATATGTCTTTTGATGTTGGTTCATTATGTCTTCTAGCTGTAGTCTAGACTGTCTCTCTGTTGGGAATTTTGCATCCAAGAAAGCATGAGTGATGAACGGAGATCAAGTGTATGAAATGCTGCAGAAACCACACGTGGTGACAGAAGAGGAAAGAGACTGGGTGACAAGGTTAGAACAGGTGCTAGGAAAGGGCACTTTTTGAGTTGTTCTTAATTCCCAACTTAATCACTTCCCTTATTTTTAGGGCAGAGAGTGGAGAGGCTGAGTCCCCATACCTCCTCAGTTAGACTGAGGAATCCCACGTAACTGGCTATAGAAATTGAATTGCTACACATACATACGAACGTTTCCAGGTATGCAATTTAAATATATATGCAGTTGGCCCTCTGCATCTGCAGATGCAACCAACCGTGGATCAAAGATACTCAGAAAAAAGGCTGGGTGCTGTGGCTCAAGCCTGTAATCCTAGCACTTTGGGAAGCTGAGGCAGGGACATCACTTGAGCTCAGGAGTTCGAGAATAGCCTGAGAAAAAGCAAGACCTGGTCTCCACAAAAAATAGAAAAATTAGCTGGGTGTAGTGGTACACACCCATAGTCCCAGCTACTCGGGAGGCTGAAGCAGGAGGATCCCTTGAGCCTAGGAGTTTGAGGCTGCTGTGAGCTGTGATGACGCCACTGCACTCTAGCCCAGGTGACAGAGTGAGACCCTGTCTCAAAACGAAATTTATGAAAATAAAAATAACACAGTAAAAATAATAAAAATTTAAAAAAATATAGAGTAGCAACTATTTACATAGCATATACTTGTACTAAGTATTATAATTAAAGATGATTTGAAGTATACAGTAGGATGTGCTTAGGTTATATGCACATGCTATACCATTTTATATAAGGGACTTTAGCATCCCCAGAGTTCGGTATCTATGGGGGGTTCCTGGAACCAATCCTCTGCAGATAACAAGGGACAACTATTTGTGTGTATATATGCCCCCATATATATACATGCATATATACACACTATATATATATATATATATATATATATATATGCATACACACACACACACACACACACACGGCACCTCCCAGGGTACCACTCCCTCATGTCACTTATAACAGTCAGAATATAGGCTGAATAAAATACAAATCTAATTGCAATGGCAGAGCGATCTTTCCTGGAGAATTTGACTCCTTAAAAATGGCTATTGTTTATATCAGACTTACAAAATTTGCTTCTTATCCTAAATACTGAAGGTGTTGGGGTGTGGGTTTATTTTTGCTTTTTAAATAAATTTTCTGGATTTGTGAGGTCTCAGCTTGGGCAGGCAGTCTCACCAAAAAGTTGACTTAAGAAAATGTGAGGCCTGGACTATTCTGTTAGCACAAATCCTGTACTACTTTATTGACACCAGAGGGAAAAGGAGAACCTCTGGTCTCAGCATCACAAAATAAACTGCCTGCAGACTTAGGTAGGCAACATAAAAGAGTTACATTGACACAGTCCATTCGAAAAAGTATTAATATATATGCCAAGGCTAAGCACTGTTACGATTCATCTTAAATTCATAACAACCCATGAAGTAGGTGAAGTTATTAGCCTGCAATTTTATAGATGCAGAACCGTGGCACAGAGTTCAGTAACTTGCCCAAATCACACAGCTTCTATGTTGAAGACCCAGGATCTCGATGCAGAAGGATGGGTCCAGAGTCCCACCTTCTAGCTGCTCGGTTATTCAGCCTGCCAGCCACTCATTGCCGGACAGGAAGGACCACTGTCTTAGTCAAGTTCGTGCTACTATAACAGGATACCTGAGACCAGGGAATTACTGATAATAATAACAGGGATTGATTGCCTTACAGTTCTAGAGGCTGGGAAGTCCAGTATCAAAGTTCTGGTTTCTGATAAGGGCATTCGTGCTGCATCACCCTACGGCAGACAATGAGAGGGTGAGAGAGAGAGAGAGAGAGGAGGCAGAACTTTCCCTTTTATCACAGCTCCAATCCCACCCACAAGGCTGGAGCCCTCACGACCTAATCAACTCCTAAAGGTCCCACCTCTTTAAACTGTTACGATGGCTTTTAAATAATTTCAAGTGGCGTTTTGGAAGGGACAGACATTCAAACTGTAGCAACCAGCGTGGCCATATCTTCCGGTTTTTCAACAGAACCCAAAACTTTTCTATGTATAATATAATTTCTTGGTTTTTAAATGTTGACACCTAACAACAACAACAACAACAAAAAAAAAACCACTTCAACACCATGAGTCCCAGACAGATAATACATGCGGACTGGATAGGACCCATGTTCTACCAGTTTTCTCCCATCTAAACCCCTTGTTTTGCATTTACAAAAACACAGACTAGAGAGGGGGAGCAACTGTGCCCACGGGCACACGGCTGGTGGCCAAGCTGATCTTAGCTAAGAATCAGGGCTCTGAAGGCAGCCCGCCTGGGCCTGAGTGCAGGCTTAGCCACTCGCTGGCCATGCGACCCTGGGCAATGGCTGAACGTCTCCGGGTCTCAGGGTCTCATCTTTGAAATCAGAATAATAACAGTGCGACTTTAAGCACTGTATAAGCACTTAGAACTTACAGTGTCGAGACATTCAATAATGGGAGTAGAAGTAGTCGATAATATTTGCTATCATCATTATTATTCCCACGGATCCATCCTTTCCGCTTGTCTTCCCCCCTGGATTATATCAGATGCAAGCACTGCCTTCACGTCAATCAGAGGCACCAAGTGTTTGGTGTAAATAAAGATTTTACAGGACTTTATTTAGGTCCCGCCGCAGTTCCTAATACTACAAAACGGATGAGCAGTGCTGATAAAAGGGCTGCCTTTGCCGGGGAGTGTTTCTTTTGGATTTATATTCGAAACTGGTTGAATCTCTCTGAGCTCTTGCAAGGACCAGAGGTAAATCAAAAGAAGCAATTTACTCCTCAAAGCCAGCTGTGACCTTGCATCCCATCAGCCGGCCCATGAGAAGCTTGGACGCTCCGGGATGTGCCTGAGGATTTATCTGCGCCTAATCATTAGCGAGGGGTGCTGAGTGTGATACAGCTGGCGCTGCAGAGGAGGGAGGGGGAGGCACTTACGAATCTTTCCACCTTAAGGAAATTGTGTTTTCCACCTTGTATTAGAGAGACATCAATTAAGGTGATGAAACGCCAGGGGACAAATGGGATCTAAACCATTTTAAGGGAATTTTATGAATTTCATTTGTGTTTGGTTTTGTCTTGAGATAGAGGAGTGACCTTAAGTCCCTAACATCAGCGGATCAGAATCTATAGAGGATTTTAGGGAAGGATGAGCTAATCTTGTGGTTCTCAAGGTGTGAGCCCTGGCCCGGAGACGCTGGCATTGGCCGGGAACTTGTTAGAAATACAAATCTTCAGGTCCCACTCCAGACCTACCTACACAACCAGAAACTCCGGGAATGGGGCCCCGGCAGCCTGTGTTTCAACAAACTTTCCCAGCGATTCTGATGCACGCTCGAGTTTGAGATCCACTCATGGAATGCATGAGGCCCATCCCATATTTACATCGCCTGAGGATCTTTTTTTATGAAAACATACCACAGCCTGGCCCCCACCTCTGCTGGAGTGGAGCTTGCGCAGGGCTCCTCAGCCTCCTCACTGTTGACACCTTGAGTTGGATGACTCCTGGTCGTGGGGCTGTCCTCTGCATCGTAGGATGTTCAGCAGCAGCCCGGACCTCTACCTGCTACACCAGTTAGCACCTGCTGTGACAACCAAGAATGTCCGCGGACATTGCCAAATACCTCCCGATGGGGCAAAGTTTCTCCCCCACCCGTCCCGCCCCTGAGCTAGAGCCTCAGTATTTTGCAGGCACCCCAAGTGCTTCTAACAAGCAGCCAGGACAGAGAACCACTGATCTCACCCAACCCTATCTTTTCGATTGCCAGGGGAAACTGCAGAGGGTGAGCCGGGGCGGTTCTGCAGGTAAATGCGCTTTCTGTAGATAAAAGCGGACGCGCTTTCCCGAGCCTGTGTGTTTTGTTCCTCGTTGGAGCTGATGCCAATCAGAGCAGGCAGTCCCAGGGGGGCGAATGCGTTTTCAGGAGAGCTAGCTGGCTGCCTCATCGGATGGATCCCACCACAAACTCAAAACCCAGCGGGCGGTCAAGAAGAAAAACAAGGATGTGGGAGTGGGACTGTGTTGGGAGCTCCAGACACTCGCAGGGCGACAGTGACTGACTCTTTTCTGCATCGCCTCTCAAAGAGGGACCCCAGTTGGAGGAAAGGGGGAAGGGCTGTGACTGCCCTTGCCTTTCAGAGATCTTCCTGTGCCGAAATGTCCCTTCTCCAAAAGATTCATGATAATAACAACCTGTTGGCTATTCTTGCCTTATGCTTCTTAAAACTTTTGCCATGTATGTTTCTCTTATTCTCCTTAAGCCTTTGTAGATACTGTTTCTCACGTGTTTCCTTTGAGCCAGACCCTCGGCATATCCCAACCTGGTGCAATCTTGAAAATGCTCCAAAAGAGAGGGTATTACTGTCCCCATTTTACAGACGACAGAAGTGAGGCTCACAGGGGTGAAGTAAGTGGCCCACAGTCCATTCTGACGCCAAAGCCCGGTGTATAACTGAGCTCTGTGCATCCTGAAGGAGGATGCACTTTCCCCATTTTTGCAGGTGTGTCCACGGAGCCTCGGATGGGGCAGGCAGTTGGTAGAATCTCGCTGCCCCATTCCCCTGATGTCGTTTCCTTTTAAGCTCTTTCCTCCTAATGAAATGGTAGCCGCAGACACGGCCTCGCGGCCCACGAGCCTTCCAGATGCAAGTGGGCAGCCGGACAACCTCGCCGTCCCTGCCTTTAGCTGCTGGTGCCCAGAGGTGAAAGCCAACGGACGCCCCATCTCGGGGGCCTTTGTGAGAACGGCAGGTGACACCTGTTCTTTCCGCCTTGGCAGGTCTTGTACAGATGGAACAGACAAAGCAGCACATCTGTCATCGAGACAAACAAAACATCGGTGGAGCTTTCTTTGCCTTTTGACGAGGATTATATAATAGAAATCAAGCCGTTCAGTGACGGGGGCGATGGCAGCAGCAGCGAGCAGATTCGAATCCCAAAGATATCAAGTAAGAATGTCCCTCTTCCCTGTTTCCCCCCGGCTGTCTTACCGGCCTCCCAGATGAGTTGGGGCTTGAAATACATTCAGCCCTGGAAAAAGAAGACTTGTAGTAAAAACGGAGGCGACCACCTCTCTCCCTCAGACAACCGAAGTTTGCCGATCACAGGCAGTTGCATGCAGAGCACAGCTTGCCCTGTTTTGACTGATGAATCTGTTGCTAATCCAAAACAGGGGTAAAGCAGCCCGAATCAGTCGCTCGGGCTTTTCCATGTTGGCACATGTGGTTTCCATTTACATAACCCCCAAATCACGGCTTAGAAAGTTAAAAGCATCACTCCCTCAGGAGGAACGAGCAAAAGCATTCCAGAAAAGGCTATAGCAGTTTGTCTCCAGTGAAACGATGCAGTTCAGATCTTCAGTTGAAAATATTTCGAACTTGCTGTTTATTTTTGAATGTGCCTATGTAACCTACGTGTAAACGCATTTGTGTCTATTACCTTCACTTTCAAATATCATTGAAGGATGTGTGAGAGTATTCTTTTTTTTTCATTCTGGTTTTCAAATGTTTGCAAATGTCTCAGCAGCCTATTATTTTTCGTTCTCATGTGTGATTCCATTTATTTAAAGACTAAACACAGAATGGGCAGATCCGTGGAGACAGAAATCAGGGTAGTGATGGGCAGCGCCAGTGGCAGCTTCGTGGCTACCAGGTTTCCACTTGGGGTGACGAAACAATTCTAGAACTAAATATGCAGTTCTGGTTGCACAACATTGAGGCGTCCCTAATGCCACTGAATTGCACACTTTAAGCTAGTTAAAATGGTAAATTATATGTGTATTCTAAAATTTAGAATAATAAAAAAGCATAATAAAAAAGAACAATTGGCCAGGTTCAGTGGTTCACTGCTGTAATCCTAGCTCTCTGGGAGGCCAAGACGGGAGGATCGCTCAAGGTCAGGAGTTTGAGACTAGCCTGAGCAAGAGTGAGACCTCTGTCTCCAATAAAAATAGAAAGAAATTAATTGGCCAATTAAAAATATATACAAAAAATTAGCTGGGCATGGTGGCGCATACCTGTAGTCCCAGCCACTGGGGAGGCTGAGGCAGGAGGATCGCTTGAGCCCAGGAGTTGGAGGTTGCTGTGAGCTAGGCTGACACCACGGCACTCTAGCCCAGTCAACAGAGTAAGACTCTGTCTCAAAAAAAAGAACAATTGCAGTTAGATATCTAAGTGTAGATTTTCGCTGGTCTCTGGCTTTAGCAGTCTAGAGATTAGTGGGAGCAATGGAGGCTGGCGATATAAATTTTCAAGCCATCAGTGAAGATATGATATTTTATAATGCAGGCAAAATCCTCCCCACAGAGTCCTAAGTTTTAGCTGTGCTGTGTGCCTTTGCCATCATATTATTTTTCAGATGAGGAAAGAGCCTATGGTGTCCTTCTGATACAAGCAGTAGTAAAGCACCCGCCAAGCAATTTTAATTGCATCCGCAAAATTCCAGTGCCTCAAATCAGAAGAGGCAAAGTTCCTCGGTCATTTCCCCCTTCTTCTGAATCTCTTTGTGTTTATGTGGGATTCACTAGGCATGTCTTAATGCTAATAGACAGGCCTTCAGGTGGGCAGAGAGCCGTGCTTTAGAACTCAGGGGTGATTTGCCAGTGTTTCTAGAAGGGGTTTATATTTGCCCAATCTTTTTTGCATACAAACAATAAAGACATTTTTATCTTTTTAAGAAAACTGGGGAGAATTGGAGTCTGCGCTTCACCACACAGGGGCTCTAACTTCTGTTGAAAAGGAGCCAGATTTATGGCGAGATGCAGAAGTAATCTCCAGGCCACAAACACACATAATTGGGGTTTATTTATCTCCCTCTATTAAAAATCTGACTTCAGCCTTTCTTATTGCAAGTAGTCATTTTTCTGACTGATTCCTGGTTTTATTATTCATCATAAAAACATAGATTAAGCAATTGTATTAAGTATGGTTATTAGCGGATAAGGATACGATTGTGGCTGGGCGCAGTGGCTCACGCCTGTAATCCTAGCACTCTGGGAGGCCAAGGCAGGAGGATTGCTCGAGGTCAGGAGTTCGAAACCAGCCTGAGCAAGAGCAAGACCCCGTCTCTACTATAAATAGAAAGAAACTAATTGGCCAACTAATATATATAGAAAAAATTAGCCGGGCATGGTGGCGCATGCCTGTAGTCCCAGCTGCTCGGGAGGCTGAGGCAGGAGGATCAGCTTGAGCCCAGGAGTTTGAGGTTGCTGTGAGCTAGGCTGACACCATGGCATTCACTCTAGCCTGGGCGACAAAGGTAGACCCTGTCTCAAAAAAAAAAAAAAAAGGATGCGATTGTGAGCAAAACATGATCTCTTCCCTCGAGAGGTTTTTCATTATGTGGGCCACAGAGATCTTACAATATTGAAGAAATCCCGGATGACAGATGATAATTTCTTACTATGAAAAATGTCAGACCCAGCTGGTCCGAGTGCAGTGGTCTTTACAAACTAATTGATCACAACCAGTTACCGATTCCTTTGTTCCTTCTCCACTCCCTCTGCTTCACTTGACTAGCCTTGAAATTAAAAAAAAAGAACAAAGAAAAAAAAAGAAAAATGTAGGACCCATAAGAAAAAGTTTAAAAAAGGATTGAGATTATTTTGTTTGAAGAAAAGGGGTGTATTTAGACAGACATGGGTTTGAATCCCAATCCAGCTATTTACTGAGAAAAGTTACCTTACTTCTCTGGGCCCAGATCTCATCTGTTCAATGGGGTAATAGCAGTAGCTGGCCGTCATTCCAGTTTTTTTGCAAGATTTTAAGTGTGACATAGACTTGTGCCCAGCACAAAGGTAGAGTTCAAAAGGCAGTAGCCATTTTCATTTTGTTGCATTGTCAACATATTCGTCAGTATCGTTAATTAGTGATATCGGATGTGGACATTGCCATTTCACAAATGCTTTAGCAGAGGCACGAGGAGGGATGCCCCACGCCCTGCCCCCAAGTTCATGGCTAGGTGGCAACAGCACCGATGTGGAAAAGGCATTAGGAGGTCATCATTTCTAGCAGGACCCCCGGCAGTGCCGCTGTTTCAAAAAGCCCTTTGGTCTCTCCTTCCCTTTGTACCCAGGATGAGGCTGCTTTGAGTGGACTTTGTTCTCTCTTTCCAGACGCCTACGCGAGAGGATCCGGGGCTTCCACCTCGAACGCGTGCACGCTGTCCGCCATCAGCACGATCATGATCTCCCTCACAGCCAGGTCCAGTTTATGACAAAAGTCACCCAAAAGACTTGCTATTTATGATACAAGCAACATTTAGCTAGTTGTTTTGAAGACACCCAGTACTAAGTAATATTGTTGTTCGAGTACATCTTATTACCGGAAAAAAAAAAAAATGTTTTTTGCTTCTTTAGGAATGGCATCCTACAGTACTTCCTCAAAGCAAATCTAGCTTTGTCCGAAGGTTCTTTGGAAACTCTGCAATGCACTGAAGACATCTGTAATATGATGTTACCAAAGCAGTTTACATATGTCCTTATATGCATATTTTTTATTATATATTTAGTGTTTTATAGAATTTTTTAAAGTTAACATATAATGTAGATATTGATTTTTTTCCTCTGCTGTAAAATGCTAATGGGCAACACAACCATGCAATTATCATTTGAAAATGCTTCCTTTAAAAGCGGAGTTCGAAACTCGCCTTGGTTAATAAATTGCAAATGACTTGTACAGTTTTATGAGGATCTAGTGGCAGAACAGCTGAAGATTTGGTCTCTTAACTCGAGGCTGCCGTATGCAAATGACTCTTTGAACGGTTAATGCATTTTGATGTGTACAATATGTTTTCCCGCCCCGTTGTGAATTCTGTTGTTCAACACAACTTGAGATGATTTCAGGAATGGCTGCAATCTCAAAAATTAAATCGACTGCCTAAGAGGCATCTTGTGCAATACTCCCATCCCTGAATTTAGTGTTGTACAGTAAGACTTTCTTTTCACTCAGCTAACTTAGCATTGTCTTTGTAGTAGCATTCTCTTAGACCTTCAATTTGAAGTTATATATCCTGTAGTAACATAGACCAAAAGTTACTATAGTCAATCAAGTCTTTCAAAGGATACGAGATAATTTTACTATCTTTCAATGTATCTGTTTTGAATGTAAATTTAAAAAAAAAAAGAAGTAATTCTCTGTCAATAGAGTCATAATTTCTTTACAAAATTTCTTATATATAATACGTGTATCTCTGTAATTATAGAGCCCTTCTTTTGATTCAAAATTACATATGGAGTTTGGAAGATTTCTCCTATTTTAGCAAATAGTTACCACAAAGGAATTTTTCATATGACTCTATAAGAGATCTTTAGTATAATTATATGTATCTTGATGATTCTCCTGTTTTACAATAGGTAGCCTATAGTTGCTTTATAAGCTTTATCTTCTAAGTCTTTAAATCACACATTGGAAAATGACAATATCAACAAATCCGTATTCTTATGAAAAGAACTATTTGTTATGATGGGGAGGTTTTGTAAGCTGACACTAGTTGGAACAGTGATATAAAAGGCAATGAAATTTTCTATAAAAATTTTCACATGTAAACATGCTGCCACCTTTTCTTCTTTCTCAGAGAGCTCAAATTTGCCTGTCATTTGTCATTTTTGCTTACAAATAATATAACTTAACTTTTCAACCTTCTAGTTATCCAATAAAGTCATAATCAGGATTCCATTTGTGTAAAAATTAGGGTGGTAACCAGAAAAAAAAATATTGTCAGTATTTCAAGCTGTGTTCCTTTCTTAGTTTGATATGGTTACTTACTTCTATGTTAAAATAAAATAAAATTTAAAATCACACGCAAAATAAAAAAAATCAACAAAATAATAAAATGAATGAAAAAAAAAGATGACACCCCAGGTAGTTCCACCCCCAGTGTAAATGACATTTATCAGTGATCTAGCATATGTAATCTTTTTTTAAAGGTATTGTTAATAAATATTCTGTCATTTGTAAAGATACTTGTCTTTTGGGAGCATTTTTCCTGCCTGCCTGTCAGGGAATTTGTTAGCTCACCGTTGTGCTAGTTATAATTTGGGATCATCGTGGGACCCAGAAGTCCCTGGCCATGACCCAAAGCTAGACACAGCCCCGAGCCATTCCTTTGGAACTGACAACCCTGCAGACATCGTTCCAAATCCTCTTTGGAAGTAGAGAGGGTCAGACTCCACAAATAAATGTCCTGAGATCAGACTTGAATATTTTCTCTTGATGAACTAAGCCTTTCGTATATTTAATCTAAGTAGATCTGTCGATTCCCTCACTCCCACTGCTAAAAAGGATGAGCTCTAACCTTGAGCATTGAAGGCCCTTCTCGCTCTAAAACAACTGAACTTTGTTTCCAGCTGTGCTGAGCCTTCCCTGGCCTCTGGACACTGCTTGCTTTTGGTCTCACCTCCGTGCCTTTTGGTCTTATGGCTGCCCATTCCGGACATGCCCTCCCCCCTCTTCTCTCCCTCCCAGATCCCGACCGTCCTAGGGTAGCCCCTGCCCCAGCTTGTCTGTGACGTCTTCCCACATGTCGGTCTTCTGTGACATCCTTCCTCTGAATTAGCTGCAGCCCCTATCAATGCCGCTCATTTAGTAAATTAATCAGGTATGAACGTTTGGAAATCTCTTGTACTGTTACCTTGCATTTTAACTTCACTCCTGTATTGTTACTTACTTTTCCTTGTATGTATGCCTTGTCTTCCCGGCTAGATTGTAAGCTCCTTGAGGGCAGGGACTTTGGTCTTATCTTCCATGTACTCTCCATAGTGCCTAGCACAGTGCCTTGCAATAATAAATACTCATTGATTAATTGATCGAAGGGGTCTTTGAAGTAGCATTTTGCATCAGTCCCCCACCTGTGTGCCATAGCAAACCACCCGGGGAAGACGGTGTCATCACTACCTCTGTGGTGCGGTGGAAAGCGTTAGAAGGCCTGGCTTCTAACTTTGTGACCTGGAGAAGTCCTCTAACCGCTCAGCTTCACCACCTGATAAATGAGGCCCTGGATTGGCAGAGTCTGACTGAAGGTGTTTTAGAAGGCGCCCCATGGGCACCTCCTGGCTTCCGTGGTGGTCGCGGGTAGTGTTCCACTGGTTGCAAGCAACAGAAACAACCCTGGCTAATGTGAGCAGGCAGAAAGGAATTAACTAGAATGGCACGGGTTAGATTGATAAGCCAAGGAAACACTGAAGGGCCAAACCGTGGTGAGAGTAGCAACCAGGCCACTCTAGTGGTCCGGACTGCAAGAACTTCAGAATGTCTTTTGGGGGTCCTGTTGCGGGAATGAATCCGCTCTGTGTCCAGTTCTGATGCCGCTCTGCTCAATATCCAAATTCCTGGGCAAGTGTCTCATCAGTCCCGTTGGGGCCACACAGCCAGAGCACCTGGATCACACTAAGCCTGCACTCCTAGGGGAGGGATAATTTGTTAAGAGGAAAACTGAGATGATGTTTCCAGAAGGTGAGGGCATTAAGTGCTGGCTGGGGCTGAGCAATAGACTTTCTATGGTTAGCCGACCAGGAAAGACGCTCCCAGGCCCTAAGCTGAAGCAATGCACTCAAGTGGAAAGTATTACTGCTTCAGAGATTGTTTTTTTTGTCTGAAAGAGGAGCACTAGTAAAAATTTGCTTTGCTTAAACCTTTTCAAGTACTTCCTCCTATCCTCTTTTGTGTGTGTGATCCCCCTGTGATTTAACAGTATGAAAGGAAATTCTATCCTCCCAGATAAATGGATTCTCCCACCGAACCCAGTTTCTATACAGCCCACACAGGCTACACACAAAGCAACAGCTTCCCAGGGGGGCAGCAGCCGTGGATGATAAACTTCTTTTCTCAGGTAAGTTCTGAATTCTTCTAGCCTGTGAGGTGGGAGGCGCCGTAAACCTGAATCTTAAGGTTGAGTTATTTCTCCCATCCAAATTGTGGTTGCTTACAGCTGGGAGGCGATGTCAAACCCTGCTTAACCTTTCCCAGTCTCCTCATCACCTTACCTTGGCACAAATATGCTCAAAGAATGTGGGGTTATAAAAAAGTATATAAATAGCACATAATTCGCTACTAAAATGTCATGTAATTTGTAAGGTCATTTAATGTGATGTAATCAACCAACAGGTGATTTTTTTTTTGCACACCCTATTGGATTACGCTTTTCTCCTCCATTAACACAGATGATCAAGAATTGACTGTTTTTCCTGATCTTACGATTAGAATAGTGTCCTGCCTAAAAAAAAGTTATGTGGACACCCGTAGTGATTTGAGGGGTAAGCCTTTAAAATCAAATATTTATAGTCAATCTGTGAGCATATCCAAAATGATTCCATTACAAACTGCTAGACACTGAAGCCTTAGAAAGGCAGTTTAATGCAGAGGCGAAGAGTATGGATTCTGGAGTTTTCCTGGGATGCATGTTCTGACAGTTGGTATTTACTAGATAGGATAAAAGTTGGTAAAGCTCTAAAGCAGGGGTCCTCGAACTTTTTAAACAGGGGCCAGTGCAGTGTCCCTCAGACCGTTGGAGAGTGCGCACTGTGGGCCTGGGATGAGTCGGCTGCTAAGCAGGACAGGCAGCGGCGGCAAAAACACTCGGCAGGCTGGATAAATGTCCTTGGCAGGTGGCATGTGGCCCGCAGGCCATAGTTTGAGGACACCTGCTCTAAATGCACAGCTCTCCAAACATTAATGATTGTTTTATCATCAATTTTTTTTTTCTCAAGGAAATTCAGAACTACAGATGCAGAATGTTGATGCTTCTTAGCACCAAAATGGGTTGGACTCAACTAGCACATCCATTATCACCTTTTATTTAAATGCAGTTTCTTAATATGAAATAATTTTAATAACACCATAGACTCTTTACTAATCTAAATATGGATATTAATGTTAATATAAAAGAATTTAGCAGTAGGTTCTTCATTCAGATGCCAGGTTTTCCACAAAGCCTCCCTCGGTTTCCCCAGCTGGTATCGACCTCTTGTTGCTCTGATCTCCAAGGCACGTGATCAGTACCTGCTCATGTCTAGTTATCCCTCTGTACCTGGTGTGTGCATTGCTTTAGTTCATGTCTTCTTCCCTCCAGTAGACAGAGAGCACCTTGGGGACAGAATCTGGGTGTGATTCCTGACTGTTCTACCCGAGCCCGAATCCCCCACTCTAAGACCTAGAGGGCAGAGAATTCATGGCACCATTTCATCTGATGTCCCCAGCCCCCACCCCAGCGTGACAGCCACAGGCCAGTCAGGCAGCCCATTCTGCAAGCAGGGCTCTTTCCCCTTGTGCTAAATGGGCCATGCAGATTAAATGTGCCAGCTCCACAATTCAAGTGCAAACCACAATACTCCACAGGGCTCGTGGTTTAACCCAAATTGGCCTCTAGCCTTTATCACCAAGAGTTACGGGCAGCTATAGATTAGCAGAGCCCGGATCATGTAGATCACATGGCGAAGGCTTTTTTTTTTTTAAAGGGTCAACCATATGATAGATCTGAGAGTCTGGAAACAGCGAGGCTGAGGTACTTAAATATCGCTGCCATTAAATGTGTTATCTCCAATCTCTGTACGCTGGGCTTTTGCTACATATTCTTGCCAGTTGTTAGGAATAACACAAACTACACCAGGAAATATGTGTGTCTCAGGATTTTAACTAACAGAGTAGTATCTTTAATTTGGTTTTATAGGTTTCAAAGGGCTCTTCCCAATAAGAAGCAGGAGACACAAGTTTTATTCCTTTTTCCTTTATGAAAGGAAGGCAAAGAAGTGATGCAAGAAGCCCAGACTAACACAGACAATTAGAAAGTGGGGACTAGAACGTATAACTCTTAATTCAGTGCATTTCAACACCTCCAAATAAGTGTTTAACAAGAGAAAGGACAGATAGAGCAAGGAACTAGACCAGGGGTCCTCAAACTATTTAAACTGGGGGCCAGTTCACTGTCCTTCAGACAGTTGGAGGGCCGTTGGAGAGCACGGTGCACAGTCCGCACATGCGCACTGTGGGTCCAGAACAAGTCGGCTGCTAAGCAGGACAGGCAGCGGTGGCAAAAACACCTGGCGGGCCAGATAAATGTCCTCCGAGGGCCGCATGTGGTCCGCGGGCCGTAGTTTGAGGATGCCTGAACTAGACTGGAGAGAACTAGAATGAGAGAATGTTGTAGGGGACTGAGTAGGCGAGAGGAACACGGTGAGGAAGGAGGGTGGATGTCTGAGGGTCAGATGTTGGAAGTGAGAAGCTCTGAGTGATGGCCAGGCCCTTGTCCACGTCTGGAGCAGTGGACAAGGACAAGGCCCCCAACGTTGGTTACTCGGCCAAGGACTCTACTGGCTGTCCTCTCCGTCTGCTCCAGGCACGATTCCAGGCACAGGGCAATGATGCCGCATCCAGATGTGGGTGAGGAAGGCAAGGGACCCATGACCAGGGCGTTGTCACAGGACAGAGAAATGCCATGATGATAATAACAGGCGACAGTGGTGATGCTTAGCGTGTGTGCCCTTCTCAGTGTGATCAACCCGGCGATTTAGTCACTCTTTATTATTTATATTATTATTTCTACTGAGGCTGAGAGGTTCAGAGATTTGTCCCTGGTCCTACAGCTGGCCACAGAGGCCAGGCATGCAGTTGCTGGTGGCTTGGCTTCAGGGCCCCCTCCAAAACATTAGCTGTCTCTACCTACAGATAGCTGGATGACAAATACACAAACAATAGGTAAGATGATAGAGAGATAGACACTGGTTCCCACGTAGCGACAAGAAGGGAAGGCAGTAGGAGTTTCCATGGAAGTTGTACACAGGTTGTTGAAAAGTGACCAGGGCCATGGGCCGAGCTCCCAGGTATGGCATTCCTGCAGCAAGAGTCCACACGGCTTAAGTGGGGTCACTTCTGTGCTCCGAAGCACCCCAGCTCATCTGCTGCTCTTTCCTTGACTGCAAATGGTGGGGTTTTTTTGCTTGTTGGTTTGCCTGTTGCGTTTGACTT